CCGCCGCGCCCAGCCTTGGGGCGACGAGCCTTACCATAACGGGACTGCGCTGCGGCCACCGCAGCAGCGGTCTCACCAGCAAGGGTTGTCTCAGCTACAGCCGCAGAACCGTTAGAGTTAGTGCACTGGGCGGGAGCACAACCCTGAAAGATAGGGATAGGCGTAGTACCGCTAGACTAGGCAATAGAGCGCTGACGGGTCTCTACGATAGACAGGGTGTCGACAAAATCGGAGAGGGTGAGGTCAGCGGGGTGCAGACTAAGAAAGTGGTCGCGGGCAGCGGCAAGGCGGTCGGGGAGGCGGGTGGCAAGTAGGTAAAGGGTAGAGCAGATAGGGGTCTAGAACACACGAAGCTGGGTTTCAGTGCAGGCAGCGCGCCAGCTAGCGTCGAGTGTGCATAGGTTTGTGGCCAGGTCAGCGACAGTGGGGATAGACGCGAGATCAGGGTAGAGCATGGGAAGGATCAGGCGGCCGGCAGAGGCAGAGGACGGGGTGGAATAACGCTCGACAACAGCCTCTAGGAACTCCTGCGCTGTCCTGACCGACTTAAAGCGGGGGCGCTCGGACAGCGGGAGGGCTTGGCTAATCGCGAGCTGAGCGACAGCGTCATGCGACAGCTAGACAGCACGGGCAAGGGCAGCAACGGCGACGGACTCACGGTCAGCAGACGTGGGGTCAGCGGGGAGAGCAACAGGGGGATCAGGGCAGGGGTGTTAAACTAAGGTAGCTAGGAGTAGGAGGAAGCCATGGAATGGCGTGAGGTTTAGGAAGGAGAAAGTTGAGGGGAAAAAGGGGAACGAGACTAGGAAGAGAGAGGCATACAAGGAGGTACACTAAGAGAAAAAACCGTCCGGATGTTTGGCACTAAGTTGGGTTTTTAGGCTTTGAGACTACTGTATGGTAAACCTGCAAGATGCACGGTGGTACACGTTGGGAGAGGCACAAAGTGGATGCGTTCACATCACTAAGAACTAGAGTAGTACATTGGATCTAACTCATACTCCAAAAGATATACAATGAGTACATCCGGACAGTTTTTTCCCAGGACAAAGAGCAAACTTCCGAACAGCGTTTCTAGTAACTAGTCCACCTACTTTTGGCGTTGATCACCACCTGCACCCTCTTAGGCATGTTATCTACGAGGTTAGTGCAGACCTTGGCATGAAGCTTCTTGCACTCTTCCTGGACCCACCATTTTGCATAAGAGGGTGAGCACAAGGAAAATTGCGAAGTATTTGAGCGTATGCATAAGTATTGTGCACGAATTCGGATTGAATGTAATCTCTGAGACTAGCCAAGCCAAGGGGTGTCCAAAGATGCCATTACTTAAATGGTCCTAGCTTATCATGGGTCGTTTTCGTCGTATCGTTCTAGGGTAAAATCACGAATAGAGTGGGCAAAATCTAGCATTCCCACCACGAACTTAGGGTAACATAGCACGGTCGATTGAGCATCCTTTCATTGTTAGAATCATTGTTAAAATCCGCGGGTCTAGTGACAGTGCATCAGTTGAAGAAGCCTCAACTGTTTGGGAAGAATATCAGGGTTGAAGGTCTGGTAGAGAAGAGGGTCACTCCAGTGCTACATATCCATGCTCTCCAATCCATTCCAAGCCTAGGCAGGAAAAAATGACATGGAATGGCTTTGGAGAGCATGAGTATGTTTGCGCTGGAGTGACCCTTTTCCTCACCAGACCTCAATCCAGATATTCTTCCCAAACATTCGAGGTTTCTGCGACTGCTTGCACCGTCACTAGACCCGCGGATTTTTAACATGGTTCACACAGTGAAAGGATGCTCAACTCGACCGTGCCTCTGTTGCCCTAAGTTTCGTGGTGGGAATGCTAGATTTTGCCACTCTATTCGTGATTTTTACCCTAGAACGATACGACGAAAACGACCCATGATAAGCCGGGACCATTTAACTAATCGCATCTTTGGCCACCCCTCGGCTTGGCTAGTCTCTGAGATAACATTCAATCCGAATTCGTGCACAATACTTATGCAAACGCTCCAAATACTTCGCAATTTTCCTTGTGTTCACCCCCTTATGCAAAATGGTGGGTCCAGGAAGAGTGCGAGAAGCCTCATGCCAAGGTCTGCACTAACCTCGTAGATAACATGCCTAAGAGGGTGCAGGTGGTGATCAACGCCAAAAGTAGGTGGACTAGTTACTAGAAACGCTGTTCGGAAGTTTGCTCTTTGTCCTGGGAAAAAACTGTCCGGATGTACTCGTTGTATATCTTTTGGAGTATGAGTTAGATCCAATGTACTACTCTAGTTCTTAGTGATGTGAACGCATCCACTTTGTGCCTCTCCCAACGTGTACCACCGTGCATCTTGCAGGTTTACCATACAGTAGTCTCAAAGCCTAAAAACCCAACTTAGTGCCAAACATCCGGACGGTTTTTTCTCTTAGTGTAGTTGTACCTTCTACAGTAGAGTTCGATAAACCTACCAAGCCTACCAATTACATAACAAATTATATAATTTAATACACCCCCTAGGCTTGGTAGTCACAAGCCCACCCAACACACACACCCCCTAACCCATTACACCCCCATGCTCGAGATCAGCCAGGTATCTACCCCTCGGGCTTGGCATGGTGACATCCCCCGGCGAGAGGCCAGCGCGGGCAACGGCCATGGCTGAAGGCTCTTGGCGGTGTGGCACGGCGATGGCGACGACCAGGTAGAAGATAGCAGCAACGGCAGGAGGAAGAGGAGACGCAGGGGAAGGGGGGGGCGGGGGGGGGGTGAATCTTCAATGACGCGCCATAGGTGGCGTGGCGATAACTGGCGGGAGAGCGGCGAATCTTCTGCGAGGCACCATGGCTGGCGCGATGCTTACTGGCATGGGGGCGATACGACTGGCGCCTAGGACTAGGAGCTGGCCACAGCTGTCCGTGCGCTGGCGTGGCGAAGCCACCACGGCAGCACGACGGCACGGCGACCATGCGGCACAGCGCGCGAGGCGGCACGACAACCCAGCGGCACGGCGGCGTGGCGACACTGAGGCACGGCGACGTGACAGGGCCGGTGCGGAGTGACGGGCCAGCGCGGGGTGACGGGGCCAGCGCGGTGTGACGGGGCCCAGCGCGGAGGGACGGGGCCGGCGCGGCGTGACAGGGCCGGCGCGGCGTGACGGGGCCAGCGGGCTTGACGGGGCTAGCGCGGAGTGACAGGGCCAGCGCGGCATGACGGGGCAGCGCGACGTGACGGGAAGGGGGGGGGGGGGTACGCTGCGGAAGCGTGAGGAGAAGGCCCGAGCGAAAGGGGCCTGCTCTGAAACCATGTTAAACTAAGGTAGCTAGGATATGAGGAAGCCATGGAATGGCGTGAGGTTTAGGAAGGAGCAAGTTGAGAAGAAAAAGAGGAGCGAGACTAGGAAGAGAGAGGTATAACAAGGAGGGAGTTGTACCCTCTACAGCAGAGTTCGATAAACCTACCAAGCCTACCAATTATATACAAATGTATAATTTAACAAGGGGAGCGTACTGTCAATGTGGACGGCCAAGGAGTGGCCATCCTGCCGCTGACCAGTTAGGTGACGGCGGAGGTCGACGAGCCATGAGTCGAACTAAACCGGCTGACCCTCCACGTCAAAGCGCAGCACCGAGTAATGAAGGCCGCTGCAGCCGCAAACAGGCGGTGAAGGGCGGGACGAAGCGACAAGGAGCAGTGGGGAGGAGTGCTGTAAGTACAGTGTGGTGGAGTGCTGTGGGGCGCCGTGCTGTGCGGTGCCATAGCGGTGCAGAGCAGTGCAGTACGGTGGGCGCGGTGCAGTCGGTGCAGGTGCTGAGCGGTGCAGCACGGAGGGGTGCGGTGCAGGACAGTGGAGAGGGCGGTGAAGCGGGCGGGACCGGAAACACAGCGCTGAGCAGCTGGGAGAAGGGGCCCGGGGCGGCCGGGCGACGGGCTGCGGGGCGGCTGGCGACGGGGCCGCAGAGCAGTGGGGTGATGGGTCGCAGGGCGGCTGGCGACGGGGCCGCGAAGCAACGGGGCGACGAGGCCGCGGGCGGCTGGCGACGGAGCAGCGGGGCGGCTGGGCGACGGGGCCGCGGAGCAGCGGAGCGATGGGGCCGCGGGGCGGCTGGACGACGAGGCCGCGGGGCGGCTAGGCCACGGGGCGGCTAGGCCACGGGGCGGCTAGGCCACGGGGCGGCTAGGCGACGGGGCAGCTAGGCCTCGGGGCGGTAGGGCGGTTACGCTAGGGGCGACGCGGCCGCGGGGCCAGCAGGGCGGTTAGGCGCTGGGCGACGGGTCGACGGGGCGACAGCGGCTAGGCGCTAGGTGACGGGGCCGCGGGGGCTAGGCGGCAGGTGACGGGGCCGCGGGGCCAGCGGGGCGGTTAGGCGCTAGGTGGGGGGGCATCGGGGCCACGAGTGCTAGGCGCTAGGTGACGGGGCCTGTGGGGCCAGTGGGGTGGCTAGGCGCTGGGTGACGGGGCTGGGGGCACGGGCGGCTAGGCGCTAGGGAACGGGGCCGCGGGGCCAGCAAGGCAACGGGGCAGGGGCTCTTGGGGTTTCTAGGCGCTAGGCGACGGAGCAGGCTAGGACCTAAGGCGGAAGCGTGAGTGGGGGGGGGACCTAACCTATTCATGATACATTTCAGAGTCAGAAGAGTTGAATAGAGTGAGAGTATACAGGGGTATATAGCTAGTGGGTTGTACTCTATATGAAAACCCTATGTAGTTTACTAAACATCCACAAATATGTTTGACATGTAGGCCTGATTGGTCAGGAAAAAAAAAACAAAAAACAAACAAAACCCTGACAAAACATGCCACGCACAAAACCCGACCCTGAAAAACATGGGTTCTCACATGGGCAACCTGAGCAAGCAGCCTCCCAAAAACCAATCTAAGGGCCTGATTATGATATTTGATTATGAGCTGAATGATGGATATAGACTGGATGGATGCAAATACCTGCGCTGGAACCCTAAAATCCCGACATAAGTACCCGCTCTTGGGGTTCATTGCGCATGTTTGCCATCGCTTGCCTGCTTCGCCAGTACTGCTTTCAATTGCCCTTTCCCGCTTTCGCCATGGCTTCCTGTCACGTCGTCGCGCTCGCCTCTTCGCAACTCACCGCATCGTTCCATCGCGCCCAATGCTCCGAAGAGCAGATGCGTTGCATCTGGACAGTCGTGCGCCACCCCTCTCGCGGGCCACCGCGCAAGGCGAGCCCAGAGCCGCCGTCCGCCAGAGTGCACAAAGTGCGCGCGGTGGAAGGCGCTCCGTGCGGGTGCTAGCGGCGGGGGAGCGCAAAGACGAGGCGGGGTCAGCGGGCGAGAGGAAGGACGCGGAGAAGGTGCCGGGGTGGGCGCAGCCCGGAAACGCGGAGCTGCCGCCGTGGGCGCGCAGCGAGGCGCAGCGGGAGAAGCCATTTGAAGTGCCGTTCTGGGCGTACCTCGTGGCGTCCGTGCTCGTCGCCATCGCCGCGGTGCGTCGCATGCGCGCACTGCCGCTGGGATGCGTGGGGTGTGGGGACGGTAGCAAGCTCGCGTGGTGCTGCCCGTGGTATTGAAACGCCTTGAGCACTGTGGCCCGAGCAGCGAGGGCGGACGCACGATTGGAGACGCACGGGAAAAGCGTGGGGGCCAGGTGGCTGAAGGCGAGGTGATAAGGGTGGGAGAGAGAGCGCGAGTTTGCATGCATTGACAGCCTCAGCGCCCTTTGTTGTGACGCTGTCCCCATGCTCCCCGCTGAACCCTGAACCCCCGGTGCCCGATGCGCAGGTGGGGTCGATCTTTGAGTACACGGCGGGCAACCCGCTGTTTGGCGTGGTGGGCAGCGACAGCGCGCTGTGGGCGCCCACGCTGCTGCTCTTCGCCACCACCGGCATCCCATCCTCCGTGAGACCACACCGCACGCCTCCACCCCCGCTCATCCCACACCTTGGACTCCGCTGCCAAACCTTACCTCCGCCCCGCTGCCAAACCTTTCCTCCCTCTCTCCCCCTCCCCCCTCTCCTGCCTCCCTTCCTCCATCGTGACTGTCCTCCCCGGGCCTCTTGCCTTCCCTCACACCCCGTGTGCTTCCTTGCGTCACCGCATGGCAGAGGCCATCTCGCCCGTGCACGGAAGATGTTTTCTTCAGCGCCCATCCTCTGCTCTGCCCTGCTCCACCCTCCTTCCACCTTCGTCGCTCTGCACTGTCTGCCATGACAGCCTCCCAACTCTCTGCCCCTCTATCTTAACAACTCTGATTCTGCACTGCCTCTTCCCCAGTCGACTTCTTACCCCGACTTCCCCATCCTCACGTGTCCCCTCCCCCCTACTCTTCCCTCCTCCCCCCCTCCTCCTCCCCTCACAGGGCTACCTGCTTAGTACCTTGCGATTCAGGGCAGCCAACAAGCAGCACGGGAGGCGGACGAGGCAGGACATGGTGTGAGGAAGTGGGCAACACGGATGGAAGGCAGGACCATGGACCATCTTTCAGGAATCAGGAAGAAGGGGGGATACAGACTTAATGTGGGACTTGCTCTTTTCTCACTTGATATTCCCAGCACAATTGTACTAGGGCGCGTAACATAAAGAATATTTACAAAAGTACGTACCAGGTGAAGGTACAGCGGGTTTCGAGCTCGGAACACTAGGGGTTCGACAAGGAGGGGCACAAACTCGGTCACTAAGGGCGCGGGCCCATTGCGTCTGGATCGACGGAGCCTTTTCGCGATCTTGGGCAATTACGAAAGCAGGTAACCCTCTTGCTACAGTAATTTTACAATAGTCCAGTACCATATCGTGGGGAGAGGATCACTTCCGAATCAATCTTGCAAAATGATTTCACGTCCAAATCTCTTTCGAGCACGCCCACGAAAGTACCAGATCACGCCACCAACGAGTTTCACGAATATCCTGCGCATCGCCAGATCGCCAAAGCGAAAAAATTGAGAGTATTATCGCACCATGCGATATTGCACGGTGAATTATTTCCATAGAGCTAAACTATTTCCATACCCGTGTCGCGTATCAGAAATATGTTTATCACTGGTTCGCGCGCGCGCGGCGTGTTTTATTGCAATTTTATCGCATTATGATTCCCCCTGTCTGTACGACTGGTTTTCGGCCCATGAAATTTGTCTTCAAGGTATTCGCTTTCCTGGTGGCAGGCAAGTGGCGTGCCAGAGTGTCACCAATATCTGACACAACCGTCAATGTCGGTGCCGGGCCTCGGAAAAAAAAAAAAAAAAAAAAAAAAAAAAAAACCGAACTTTGCTCGCGCTGCCACAAATCGTGCTGAGACGACAATACATCCATCCAGCCACTCACCGGACGACAAATAATCGCGAGACACAAAGTTGCATATCAATCGCACAAACTCGATAAGTGATTACAAAACTGTGTCAGGTCCCGTGAAGTAAGGTGTAACAATGTTTGCAAGAGGATAACAGACGTTTCATAACGAAATTCTGTGATTGATATGCAACTTTGAGTCTCGCGGCGTCACGAAAGTCTGAATATTTGTCGTCTCGTGAGTGGCTGGATGGATGAATTGTCATCTCAGCACGATTTGTGGCAGCGCGAGCCTAAGTTCGGTTTCTTTTCGGCGAGCACGATTCCGTCAACGCGCGAGCAATCATCCTCCGAGGCTCGGCACCGATATTGACGTTGTGTCAGAGAATATCAGTGACATCTGGCACCCCACTTTGCCTGCCACCAGGAAAGCGAATGCTCAAAATACATTTTATGGCCGAAAACCAGTCCGTACAGAAAGGAGGAATTATAATGCGATAAAATTGCCATAAAAGGCGCCACGCGCGCGATAGCGTGGTGAGCACATTTCTGACGCGCGACATGGGTATGAAAATAATGCTATGACATGAACACAATTCTGCATGTAATACGCGCGGCGAGATAATACTCTCGAAAAGTGTTGACACAGAAATGTTGAGAGGCTCGAGCCGCGTTCGAGGAATGTGTGCTGGTTGCTGGGTTCTAGCGAAAGTACTGTCGAAAATGTCTTGATGTCACGGTGCAAAGCAATCCTGCGGACGGAAAGCTGCAAATCTGGAACCTGCCGATCTCGCGTTAAAATCCGATATCGAGGATCGTTTTTCAATATGTCTGAAATGATATTGCTAAAAACACGATTTCGAGATTTTAAGGCACGATCCTCCAAAACATATCAATGTGCCACGCCCTAACCATTGAGTTAAAAGTGATGGAATTATGGGAGTATCTAGGTTGCTCCAATATGTTGAGAGATCCGCGGGGGTTACCCTTGAGAAGATCCTCGGGGAATGGCCACAGGTGCAGGGCCTGGGGGCTATGGGCAGGGTGTCAAACATGTTTAGTTATCATGCTTGTATAGACTGTATAGGGTCATCTTCTAGAGAGTACAACTGTTAGGTATATGTTTGTGTACTCTCTTCCTCTCAATTATCAATTTCACTGTTTGATATGGTATCACGCGTAGGTAGGATCCCCCCCCCCTCACGCTTCCGCTCGGCCCCCCTAGCTTGGCCCCGTCGTGCTCCTAGCCCTGTCGCGACCCTCCCTCGCCCCGTCGCGACCCTCCCTAGCCCCCGTCGCGCCCCTTCCTGGGCCCCGTTGCGCCCCTTTCTGGGCCCCGTAGCGCCCCTCCAGGGCCCCGTCGCGCTCCTCCCAGGCCTCGTAGCGCCCCTCCTGGGCCCAATTGCGCTCCTCCCAGGCCCCGTCGCGCCCCCTTCCAGGACTTCGTAGCGCCCCTCCAGGCCCCGTCGCGCCCCTTCCAGGGCTTCGTAGCGCCCCTCCAGGCCCCGTCGCGCCCCTTCCAGGGCCTGGTAGCGCCCCTCCAGGCCCGTCGCGCTCCTCCTAGGCCTCGTAGCGCCCCTCCTGGGCCCAATTGCGCTCCTCCCAGGCCCCGTCGCGCCCCTTCCAGGGCTTCGTAGCGCCCCTCCAGGCCCCGTCGCGCCCCTTTCCAGGGCTTCGTAGCGCCCCTCCAGGCCCCGTCGCGCCCCTTCCAGGGCCTGGTAAGCGCCCCTCCAGGGCCCCGTCGCGCTCCTCCCAGGCCCCGTAGCGCCCCTCCTGGGCCCCATTGCGCTCCTCCCAGGCCCCGTCGCGCCCCTCCCTAGCCCAGTCGCGCTCCTCCCAGGCCCCGTAGCGCCCCTCCTGGGCCCATTGCGCTCCCCCCAGGCCCCGTCGCGCCCCTACCTGGGCTTTGTAGCGCCCCGCCACGCCCCGTCGCGCCCCTCCCAGGCCCCCCCTCGCGCCCCTTACCAGGGCCCGTAGCGCCCCTCCTGGGCTCGTAGCGCCCCTCCTGGGCCCGTAGCACCCCTCCTGGGCCCGTAGCTACCCTCCTGCGGCCCCGTCGAGCCCCTCCTGGCCCTGTCGCCCCTGCTCGGCCCCGTCGCCCCTGTCTCGGCCCCGTCGTGCGCTCTCGGCCACGTGGCGCGGCCCCTGTCGCGGCTGCCCGGCCCCTGTCGCCCTGCCCGGCCCTGCTCGCCCGCCCGGCCCCGTCGCCCCTGCCCGGCCCTGCTGTGTCCTGCCCGGGCCCCGTCCCTGCCGCCCGACTTGTCGCTGCCGCCGGCCCCGTCGCAGCCGCCGGCCCGTCGCCCCTGCCCGCCCTGCTGTGCCTCCCGGCCCGTCCCTGCCGCCCGGCCCGTCGCAGCCGCCCGGCCCGTCGCAGCCGCCCGGCCGTCGCAGCCCGGCCTTGTCGCTGCCGCCCGCCCGTGCCGCCGCCGGCCCGTCGCAGCCGCCCGGCCGTCGCAGCGCCGGCCTTGTCGCTGCGCCGCCGTCGCCGCCGCCGGCCACGTCGCAGCCGCCCGGCCTTGTCGCTGCCGCCCGGCCGTCGCCGCCGCCCGGCCCGTCGCAGCTGCCCGCGGCCCGTCGCCGCCGCCCGGCTTGTCGTGCCTGCCCGGCCCTGACGCGCCTGCCCCGGCCCTCCATACTTCCTGGTACTGTCCCCCGTTCCCGCACCACTTTGCACCCTCCTTCACTTTCCTGCCCCGCCTTGCACCGCATTGCACCTCACTGGACGCACCGCCCGCACTGCATCGCACTGGACCGCACTGCACCGCACTGCACCGCACTGCATTGCACTGCACTGTCCTCCACTGCCCCTCATGGCTGCTGAGCTTCGTTTTGATGTTGAGGGTCAGCCTCTGGAGTTCGAGGCGTGGTTGGCTGACCTTCGCCGCCACCTCACTGGCCAGCGGCAGGACGGCCACCCGCTTTCTGCACACCTAGACGGTATGCTCCCCTGCCCTGACCCCCTGCTGTGCTGCCCGCTGATCCCACGCCCGCTGAGCGCGAGTCCACTGCCGCTGCTGCCCTTGCCCGCTCTGTCTGGCTTTCCCGCGATGCCCTTGCTCAGCTCGCCATTAGCAATGCCCTCCCCCCCTGAGCGCCCTCGCTTTAGAACCATTCCTACCGCCCAGGCCTACCTCGATGCTGTCATCAAGCGCTATTCTACCCCTCCTGCTGCCTCAGTGGGTCGCCTGATCCTTCCCCTGCTCTTTCCTGACCTGGCGTCTTTCCCCACTGTCTCTGACCTCGCTGCCCACCTGCGCTCGATAGATGAGGCCTGGCGCGCTGCCTGCACTGATGCTCAGCTTAGAGTCCACCAGCCTCCCATGACCTCTACCCTCTACCTCCTTGCCACCCGCCTACCTGACCGCCTTGCCGCCGCCCGCGACCAGTTCCTTAGCATCCACCCTGCTGCTCTCACCCTCACCGACTTTGTTGACACCCTGACTGCCATAGAGACTCGTCACCGCTCCATAGCCCTGGCGAGCGGTACAGTACCGGTCCCTATCTTTCAGGGTTGTGCCCCGCTCAGTGTACCTTCTCCGACGGCTCTGTCGCTGTGGCTGAGACTGCTGCTGCAGTGCAGTCCCGCTCGGCGAAGGGCCGCCGCCCCAAGGTTGGGAGCGGCGGAGGCGGCGGGGGTGCGGGTGGGGTAGTGGTGGAGGCGGGTCGTCCGGTGCCGGTGCGGACGTGGGGACCCTGCCCGGTCCAGCTGCCCCGCTGCCTCCACAGTTGCAGCAGCCGCAGTCGCCGCAGCGCAGCAGCCGCAGCAGCCGCCGCAGACGAGGCCGAGTACTCTCCCACCTGGGTGGCCTGGAGCTGGTGGTGGTCGTGCGCGTGGTGGTGCACCGGGTGGTGGTTCTGGAGGCGGGCCCTGTCAGTACCAGATCCAGACCGGTCCTCGCCGCGGCTTCGTTTGCGGTAAGATCGGTCATTCTACTCCTCGCTGTTTTCGTCGCCTGGACGACCTGTTCCGCCAGCGCTTTGGCCCGGCGCCCGACCTCCCGGACTGGCACAGCTTGCTTAGGCGTAGCATTAGGATTTTTGACTTGGACATGGATGCCATTGTAGCGCCTTGCATGTGATGTATGCTGATGACTCTAGTGTGCTTCCCTCTTATTACCCCGTGTTGCCTAGTGTAGCGGTGCCTAGCGTAGACTCCCCTGCTGCGTCAGGCGTAGGATCTCCTGCTTTGCTTAGCCTTGGTGCTTCCACCGCTTCACTGCTGCCTCGCGCGACTGCTGCGCTTTCCTTCACCTTGGACTCTGGCGCCTCCCGGTGTTTCTTCCGCGACTCCACGACGCTGACGCCGCTGCCTGTTCCCGCTGCAGTTACTCTTGCTGACCCCTCCGGTGGTCCCGTCGTTGCCCGCAGTTCCACCTCCCTTCCCTGTCCGGCGGTTCCTTCGGTTCGCTCACAGGTCTGCATATCCCCGTTCTCCAGGAACCTAGTTGGTGTCGGCTGCCTCCAGGACCTTGGCGTCACCACTACGTTCCCTGGTCACGAGCGGTATGCTGTCTGTACCGAGGCCGCCACTGGTGCCCCCCTTACCACTTTCCCCCGGGACCCGGTGTCCGGCCTGTTCACTTGACACCGCGCGTCCCCGGCTGGGTCTTCCCCCCGGTAGCGTCCACCCAGGTTGCTGCCGCGTGCTCCTGTCGGTCCCTCACTCACCCGACTCTCCTTTGGCACCACCGCCTTGGTCACCCTGCACTCCCACGTCTGCGTCACATGTCCCAGCACGGTCTCGTCCTTGGTCTCCCCGGTTCGTTCCCCGAGTTTCCCTCCTCCCCCGCCCCACCGTGCACGCCTTGTGTCGAGGGCCGGCTCCGCCGTGCCCCTCACTCCTCCTCTTTTCCCCCTACCACCGCACCACTGCAGACTCTGCACATGGACGTCTGGGGCCCAGCCCCGGTCCATGGGCCGCGTCGCGAGCGCTTCTTCCTAGTGCTTGTCGACGACTTCACGCGCTACACCACCGTCTTCCCCCTGGAGCGGAAGGCCGACGTGCCTGACGTTCTCATCCCCTGGCTTGTCTCTGCTCGTGTCCACCGCGGTCTCCCTGCCTTGCGCCTTCACTCCGACCGGGGTGGCGAGTTTGCCTCAGGTGTCCTTGGTCGCTTCTGTCGTGCGGAGGGCATCACCCAGACGTTTACCCTGCCGGACTCCCCGCAGCAGAATGGGGTCGCTGAGCGACGCATCGGTTTGGTCATGGAGGTGGCTCGCACCTCCATGATCCACGCCGGTGCACCCCATTTTCTGTGGCCGTTCGCCGTGCGCTACGCCGCTCACCAGCTTAACCTGTGGCCGCACCCCCAGCGGCCGCAGGTTTCGCCGACCCTTCTGTGGACCGGGTCCCCTGGTGACGCGTCTGCGTTCCGCGTCTGGGGCTGCCTTGCTCACGTTCGTGCCTCTGGCACGGACAAGCTCACTGCCCGCACCCTCCCCTGCGTCTTCCTCGGTTTCCCCCTTGACGCGTCCGACTGGCACTTCTACCACCCGCCGTCTCACCGCTTCTTTCACTCTCGCGACGTCACCTTTGACGAGTCCGTCTCCTTCTACCGCCGCTTTCCCCACCGTGGTCCCCCGGTTACTCCCCCCTTTCCTGGTTCCTCCCTCCCTGGTGGTCCCTGCCCCTCCCCCCCCCCCCCCCGTCCGGCCCCTCTGGTGTGTCTCACGTCACCCCCTCCCGTCGGTCGTCCCGGTCGACGAGTCTTCTGACTCTGGTAGTCCTCCGGCGCAGTCCTCGCCGTCTGTCCCTCCCTCCCCCGCCTCCGCAGCCGCCGTCGCCGCAGCTGCTGCAGCCGTCGTCTCCACCGCCGCCGCGTTGCGCCGTCCGCAGCCGCCGCGCCGCCGCCGCTGTCGTCGCTGCCGCCGTTTGTGGACTCTGGGGTGTCCCTTCTGGGGGTGCAGGTGTGGAGGGTTCGGGAGGTAGCCGTCGCGCAGCTTGTGGCCCTGGTGTTGGTGTTGTGTCGCCGCAGCAGCAGTCCCCGCCTGTGTCCGCCCTCCGTCTGCTCGGCCTTCCGTCTCCTGACCCTGCGCCTGTTCCTCTCCTGCCGTCTCCCCCTCTTCCCGTCTACGGCCCCGTGTTCCCTCTGCCAGACTCGTCCCCGGCTCGTCTTCCCCCCGTTCCCCTCCTGTGTCCCCTCCTCTGTCTCCTGACCCGACGCCGCCCTCACACGTCTGGTCTCGCCGCCCTCGTGCTCGTCCTGTCTCCCCTGTCCCGCGCTCTCACCCTATGTTGCTCCGTTCCCACGCGTCTCGTCCTCCCCTCCTCCCGTCTCCTCCTCCGTCTTCTCTTGTCGTTGCGTCTCCTCCTCTGTCCGACTCCTTTCGTGCCGCTCGTCCTCTTGTTCCTCGGGTCCTTGCCTCTCTTTACCGACCCGTCTGTTCCAGTGTCGAGTCTTGACGCCCTCGTCGCTGCGGTCGCTGACTTCGCCTCTACCCGCCGCCTTGACTACGCCACCGCTCTGGTCTCTGACCCTGCCTGTCCTCCGTCTGTCGGGGGTGCTCCTGCCCTCGGCAGTGACGTCCTGGAGGACCGCCAGTTTGAGCTTGCTTTCCTGTCCGAGGCTGCTCCCCATCTCTGTTCCATGCTGCTAGTCCCTGAGGGTGACCCAGACGCTTTCGACATCCCGACCCCTCGTACTTACGCTGAGGCGGTTTCGGGACCCTGGGCCTCTCAGTGGATAGCTGCCATGGAGCAGGAGATGGCATCTTGGAGATCCACCGGCACCTTCGTCGACGCAGTTCCCCCACCTGGGGTGAACGTGGTCGATGGCCGTTGGCTCTTCAAGGTGAAGCGCCCTCCTGGAGAGCCGCCTGTGTTCAAGGCGCGCTACGTGGCTAGAGGCTTCAGTCAGCGCGAGGGGGTGGACTTCTTTCAGACTTTCGCTCCTACCCCGAAGATGACTACTCTTCGGGTTCTGCTACACGTAGCGGCTCAGCGTGACTACGAGCTTCACTCCCTCGACTTCTCCACTGCCTTTCTTCAGGGCAGCCTTCACGAGCAGGTCTACCTGCGTCGCCCTCAGGGCTTTACTGGCACCTTCCCCCCTGGGACCCAGTGGCTTCTGCGGCGGCCAGTCTACGGCCTGCGCCAGGCGCCTCGTGAGTGGCACGACACTTTGCGTGCTACCCTTGCTGACCTGCAGTTCTTTCCGTCCTCTGCAGACCCCTCGCTCTTCGTTCGTGCTGGCTCGACTCCGTTCTACATCCCGTCTACGTAGACGACCTGGTCTTTGCCACTGCTGACAGGGACGCACTGGCCTCCGTGAAGGCAGAGCTGCTGAAGAGACACACCTGCACTGACCTTGGAGAGCTGCGCCGTTACCTTGGCTTGCAGATCTCCAGGGACAGAGCCGCGCGCACCATCACCCTGACTCAGTCACACTTGGTGCGCCAGGTCCTTCAGAGGTTCGGCCTTCAGTTCTCCTCCGCACAGCCCACCCCTCTTCCTCTGGACCACAGACTCTCCGCTCCAGTTCCTGAGGAGTCGGTAGATCCCAGTGGTCCTTACGCTGAGCTAGTGGGTTGCCTCATGTACCTGATGACTTGCACTCGCCCAGATCTCGCATACCCTCTCAGCATCCTGGCTCGTTTCGTGGCCACAGGCAGACACCGACCTCAGCACTGGTCTGCCGCTAAGAGGGTTTTGCGTTATCTTGCAAGTACATCGGGCATGGGGTTAGTGCTAGGCGGACGCAGGCCAGTGGTCCTTACTGGACACACAGACGCTTCTTGGGCAGACGACGCGAGACGCTCAGGTCTTCCCAGGGCTACTGCTTTAGCCTTGGCAGGTGCTGTCTCGTGGAGAGCTACCCGCTCTTCGTCTGTTGCCCAGTCCAGCTGTGAGGCCGAGATCTACGCCGGTGCCATGGCGGCACAGGAGCTCCGCTGGCTGACCTTCTTGCTCACTGACTTAGGTGAGCGGCCTAGCTCTGCCCCGGTCCTGTACGCTGACAACAGGGCCATGATCCTCCTGTGTCAGGAGCCTCGACTCGAGGGCAGAGCGAAGCACATCCAGCTGCGGTACTTCCTCCTGCGTGAGCTACAGCAGCGTCGCCAGGCTCGCGTAGTACACTTAGCCTCCGGTGCCAACACAGCTGATATCTTTACGAAGGCGCTTGCGCCTAAAGATCATCAGCGGCACTGTGTACAGCTTGGTCTGGTTCCTGTAGTCTCTCACTTACTCGGGCCTTGACTTGTACTGTCCTATATATATCTGTGTGTACACTCAGACTGGACTTGTGTCCTCTTACAGTGGTTGGACTAGTAGTGCCGCCCTGTACTAGTTCTTGCCTTGCCTGTACTCCTTCTGACTGGTCTTTTAGACCCTTGTCTCAGAGGCTGGACTAGTAGTGCCACCCTGAGCTGCTTGTCTAGAACATTCCCCTATGCAGTCCAGGGGGTGTGTCAAACATGTTTAGTTATCATGCTTGTATAGACTGTATAGGGTCATCTTCTAGAGAGTACAACTGTTAGGTATATGTTTGTGTACTCTCTTCCTCTCAATTATCAATTTCACTGTTTAATACTGAGGACTTAGCCATGACTGGCCGAGTTTGTGTAAACTGTAGCGCACGAGGCAATCAGACCAGGAAAATTTTCTTCGTCTGACTGTCAGACCGAATTTTGCTGAGAACGAATGGGCGTTCAGTTGGAAATTAATGCAGCCCCTGAAAATTCCGATGAAGTCGAAGGGAAGAAACGAAAAGTTGCATGAAAAACTGCAGTGGGATTTCCATCGAGCGGTTATGACGACCAGTTTGACGAAATTGGGTGGTGAGGGCGCATTCCTCACATGTGGCACACTCTATGGCAAGTTCTTCTGCTTCCTAATTCAACGTGCAGGATCATCTAAATTTGTTTCTGGTACACTGACGGAAAGTATTGTCCACATATTTGTGACTTAGAGGAATTTTGCCATTTTAGGGGGTCATGGACATTAAGCCTTAATCTTCTGGTGTGCCTAGTGTATGTAGGTTGGGGTAAGGCTCTACGCCCATGCCTTACATCACACAAGTATAATGATGTTTACAACAAATACCAGAAAATAACAATCTTGGTACATGTGGACAATTATTGCCAGGCGCAAGCAGCAAGTTACATCAACCCCAAACTAGTACCTAATCCACCGCCCTTTCGCCTTAATCACCGCCCTCACCCTCCTGGGCATGCTTTCCACCAGGTGGGTGCACACATCCGCCGGGATCTTCTCCCATTCCTCCTGCACCCGCTCCCAAAGGTCCAGCATACCAGTGGGAGGCTTATAAGGCTTGGCCAGCTGCCTCTTGAGATGAGCCCATAAATGCTCCATTGGGTTGAGGTCGGGTGAGGAAGACGGCCATTCTAGCACCCCAAAATCTTGCTCTCTAAGCCACTCCTGTACGATACGCGACTTGTGCTTCGGGTCGTTGTCGTGCTGGAAGATAGTTTCCGAGGGTGTAAGCTGGTAAAGCTCAATCGTACTGTTGAGATCGTCCTGCAGTATACTCAGCGAGAGCAGTCCGTCCATCCTACCATATGTTTTGCTCATGAAACCCGCTCCCTTTTACGACATGCAGTCGTAAATCATCAAGCAACCGCCCCCGTGTTTGACGGTCTGCTTGATTTGGTGTCTTTAGAGGGCAGTCCCTTTGTGAACGCAGGCATATGTGAGTCCGTCGGATGCAAGGCGACCGATCTTGGTCTCATCCGAACAGATCACTCGCTTCTAGTCGTCAACCGTCCAGTCTGCGTGGGCACGGGCCCATTCCAGCCTATGGCATATGTTTTTCCGAGAGTGTCGCGGCTTCTTGGGATGCTTGATTGCGACAAGTCCGCTCCCATTCAAAGCGTTACGCAATGTCTTAGGATGCAACGTGATGCCGTGCTGCTTCTCAACGATTTTCGTCACGTGAGCGGAGATTTCTGCCTCCTCGCTGGTAATCGACCGAACTATGCCGCGGCGAACTCTCTCTGTCACTAAGCGAGGGCGACCGGCTGAGGGCATCGTAGGACGCACGTCATCGCGGCTAGACTCTACAATTGCCTTGATGGACCGAACTCTTCCCTATGCCTAGCTGTTTAGCGATTCAACGATTGCTGTACCCCCTCCGCAACAAGGGAATGATCTATGCGTAGAGCGCCTCATCTAACGGTTTCATGACGGCCTAATCGTCGCAGCGGTCCTGGCCTATCTCCTGACTACTCGATAGTCGCGAGGGCAAGTAAGAAGAAATAGCGAGGTTAGGAAATAGATCTGCTACGCTGCTTGGCTTAAACCGTCCGGATACACTCACGCGAACGAAATCTCGTCCTCGGTAAAAAATCCACCCCTGTAAAACTGAAACCAACATCCGTCACATACAGTACAGTACTACTTTACATCCAACCCTGAAATTTGATTCGTAACTAAACAAAGAAGGCACCAAACCAGTACGAGAAATGTTTAAGGCAATTATACGGGCAATACTTTCCGCCAGTGAAATCTTGACCGTGGAAAAACTTATAAAATCTAGCCTCTAAATATTATGCCAAAAATGAGGAGTAATCCCTGAGTTGCAGTACTTGACGAGATTCTGATTCGACGTAACCTGGGCATCACGAATTCTATGAGGACTAAGCCGGAATTTCAAGGCTGCATAGAAGTTGTAGAAGTATGTCCCGGGCAGGGAGAACTTAACCGAAAATTTTTAGTGGATGGGGGGTGGGGCGGGGGGAGGATTCTCTCTAGCATTGAGGACTTCAATAAAATTTCATATTAGCGGAGACTTTTTGGAGGATTGTCTCTAGCATTCAGGACTTCGCCGAAATTTTAGAGCAGCGGGGGGGTTTCCGAGGATTGTCTCTAACTTTCAGGACTCGGTCAATTTTTGGAGAAGCGGGGGGTTTCGGAGGATTGTTGCTAACTTTGAGGACTTAACCGAAATGTAAGATCCGAGGCAAGGGCTACCCTAGTGGCGCACGTGCATTCAAGATTCGAGAAATCAGGGTTATCCCTGAAGGCATACTGACAGATCAGGGCTGGTACACGAACACTTTACTAAATCCTCAGGATTGCAATATGATTAAAAACTGAAGTCAAAGGGTGAAAAATGAACTTAAACATATTTTTCAAATTAAAACATCCTAACAGGCACCTAACAGGCATCCTGAAAATCAGGAATTCATGATAAATCATCATGATATCTGAGGCCCTGGTAAGCGGTGACAGGTGTCACCATATTGGTCACTTGAAAAGGGTCACAAAATCGGGGTCGGAGTTTGCTCGGGATCGGCAGACGCAAATTGCGAATGCCGAATAGTACGAGATCTCCCACTTTGTAAGTGACGTCACGTCGACGACGATCGGCTTGTCAGCTTGAGACCAGCTTGGCTTTCCGGATTGCCTCAGCTGCTTTTTCTCGGGCTACGAGGATGTCTTCGGCAAATCTCTGGGACTGGGGCACGGGTGTCTCGATGTTTGGTGTAGAGGGTACAACTGGGTCCTATCCGTAATTGACGAAAGATGGGGATTGATGAGTTGTGGCGGAAGGCGCATTATAATACGCGAATTCCAGTAGCGGAAGGGATTTCTCCCATGTCTGTGGGTCAGTGCAGGTAGTCCGAATGAGTTGCTCCATAGTTTGGTTGACCCGTTCGGTCTGCCCGTCAATCTGTGGGTGGTAGGCTGAGGAAAGCTGTAGTTTGGTGCCGAATTGGTCCCACAGGTGGCGCCAGAAATTCGATGTGAATTTCGGGTCTCGGTCTGAAATAATGGCGGTGGGCAGTCTGTGCAGTCTGATGACGTTGGCGATGAACAGTTGAGCAGTTTGCTCAGCTGTAATTTTATGTTGGCAGGCAATGAAGTGCTCCATTTTCGTGAGTCGGTCAACGACCACGAGGATGGCGTCGTTTCCGCTGGGACCGGCCGGCAGTCCTGTTACGTAGTCCATTGTGACGTGTTGCCAGGGTCTCTCGGGCGGATCCAACGGCTGTAAGAGTGCGGCTGCTCGCTGATGGGATGATTTCATGATCTGGCAGGCGTTGCAGGAGGACACGTATTTGCGCACGTCGTCGGCCATGTTCGGCCAGTAATAATTGCGCTGCAACGTCTTCATGGTTTGTCGACTCCGAAGTGCCCGGAGGTAGGGTTGTCGTGGGATTCCTGGATTAAAAGGGTACGAAGTAAATTGTATCCGGGAACCCAGATGCGTGAAGTGTCGCGCTTATTAAAGTAGTGTTCGGTAGCGGTAGTATGCTGTTGGTGAATGGCTGAGCGAAAGAAGGGGTCGATCTTTTAGCCATGGGTAAATAGTCCGGTAAGGAGTGGGCTGGTCTGGGCGACTAGTATGGTGGTTGTATGGGCAATGAGTCGGGTCAGGGTATCAGCAATGTTGTTGGCGCCTCATTTGTATGTGATGGTGTAGTGAAAGTTTGACTTGGGGAAATCGAGCCATCCGATTTGTCGCGGGTTGAGATTCAGCTGGGCTCGCAGGTACTGGAGGGATTTGTGGTCGGTTCGCACAGTGACATCAGCACCGGTCAGGTAGCACCGCCAGGTTTTGAACGCGTGGATGATCGCCAACAGTTCCTTGTCGTGTACCATGTAATTTTTCTCTGAGCCTTGCAGCTTCCGGGATTCATAGGCGACAAGCTGTAATTCTTTGCCAAAATCTTGTAGAAGAACTGCCCCAATGGCGATATTGCTAGCGTCGGTGATGACTTCATATGGATGGTCAGGATCGGCGATGCGAAGGACGCACGGCGACGTGAGCGCGATCTTCAGTTGGTCAAATGCAGCTTGCTGCTTCTCTCCCTACCAAAAACAATCGTGATCCTTTAGTCGGTCAGTTAGCGGGCCAGATAACCCAGCCATATTGGGTATAAACCTGCGGACGTAATTGACAAAACCCAAAAAACTCTGCAGCTCCTTGATGTTGGTTGGCGGCTTTCATTCCTGTATGGTCTTGATTTTCTTGGGGTCGATTTTCACTAGAGACGATGTGGCCCAGAAACTCCAACTACTGCTTAAGAAAGTCGCACTTAGACCCTTTGGTGATGAGGCGATTCTTGTGCAGCAGCGTGAAGGCTGCATCAAAATCCTATAAGTGCTGCTCCCTGCTGCGGCTGTAGATTAGTATCGCGTTGAGGTAGATGATGATGCATTTGTCCAAGAGTTCCCTGAAAATTCCATTCATGGTAATTTGGAAGGTCGAGGGCACGTTCGTGAGGCCAAAAGGCATCACCAATTACTCGTAGCTGCCATAGCGGCTTCGAAATGCCGTCTTGTGACAATCTTCGGTGGCGACGCAAATCTGATGGTTACCTCCTCGCAAGTCAATTTTTGAGAAAAACTTGGCGCCGCGAAGTTGGTCGAGAAGTTCGTCGGCTCGCGGGATCGGGTAACGCGACTTGATGGTGATTCGGTTGAGCGCACGGTAGTCGATACACATTCTAAGTCCTCCACCCTTCTTCGGCGTGAACAGTATCGGGGTGGCATATGGGGACGTGCTGGGCCGAATAATACCTTTCGTCAGAAGGTAATCCAGCAGCTGCTGTA